CTACCTTTTTAAAGAATTAATCATAAAATAATGATTGCTTCATTTTTAAGTCCATTAGGAATGATTAATGCATTCCTATTTAGTCATTTTTTCTTCTCAAAGTCACGCAGTGTGCTTCTGAAGCAATTCAGAAATTTGCCAGCTTCATTCAAATTTGCACTTTTGTTGCCTTTATGCAGTGCTCCCCAAATTTCTTTTAGCTGAGCCACATCCCCCAGCCCAAATCAAAGCTGGAGACACACTTGAAACTTGCACTGAAAAGATTCCCTATCAGAGTACTCAGGGTAAGAATTACCTGTCCTCACGGAGCACATAGCATTGTCCTCCCACACTGCTTCCCAACATCCAGCATCTGAGGTGGCCACCTTACTCGGCCAATGGTAGAGCTGTTGGCATGCATCCAAGGAAACACGGGCAATTGGCAGGCCCCCAGCTGGCTCAGCCCACGTGCCAGTGTGCTTGGCGGACTCTGGTCCTTCGTGCAGCATAAAACTGCAACACAGGCTTTAGAAGACTGAGCACGCTATTCAGCAGAGAAAACGCTGCACAAACAGAAGTGGCATGAGAGGCTGTGTGAGCATATTTACAAGCAGGTTTTATTCAGCGTAGATCAGGACAAAAGGAAACATGTCTGATCTCCTTCATGTCCAAAGCAAACAGCATAAAGCAAAAGCTATACACAAAACGGAAGTTCCCAGCAAGCTGTGCTGGAATGTAAACAGACATGTGACATGCAACAATTCCACATGCCTGTTCCTTAAGGTGGAACGGAATTCTAAACAAGAGCTGGACCTGTGTTTGATACATCACTCTTCTGAACATACTTGGGAGAAAGCCCAGAGCCATCACTCAAACCATAATGAAACAGAAAGCCTCTTTTGGGGGTGGGTGAGTTCTGCTGCACTTTAGCATTTGGAGTACTTCAGTCACAGCCAATGAAGAGGCACAGTAAAATGACCTGCCTTCAGAGGCTGATTAAAGGAGGAAAGAAAGCAGGTACTGAAGGAGAACGCTTTGATACCAATGAATTGGCCAGCGCATTCTGACAAACATTTTAAGCAAAGGCAGCTGTCAATATCAATTCTGTAAGAAGAAGAAGAATAAATAAAAAAATCACAAGGAAAGCATCAGAACGCAAAATGGATAAAACTTGATACTGTGATATGCAACATAGGTAAAGGTAAAGGTGCCCCTGCCCATACGGGCCAGTCTTGACAGACTCTAGGGTTGTGCGCTCATCTCACTCTAGAGGCCGGGAGCCAGCGCTGTCCGCAGACACTTCCAGGTCACGTGGCCAGTGTGACAAGCTGCTTCTGGCAAGCCAGCGCAGTACATGGAAACGCCGTTTACCTTTCCGCTGGTAAGCGGTCCCTATTTATCTACTTGCACTTAGGGGTGCTTTCGAACTGCTAGGTTGGCAGGCGCTGGGACCAAGCGACGGGAGCGCACCCCGCCGCGGGGATTCAAACCGCTGACCTTTCGATCGGCAAGTCCTAGGTGCTGAGGCTTTTACCCATAGCGCCACCCGCGTCCCATTCCAAATTCCAGATAGCATATATTTAAAAAAGACATTTTAACAAGCCCATTAGTATTTGCTTGGTTGTTATATTTATCAGTCACCTAATACAATAAACCTCTAGACTAAAACTATAGCTATTAAAATAACATTTAAAAGTGTTAAAACGTGTTGAAACTACTGGAAGAGTAAGAAGGTCTTTGCCTGGCACTAGAAATACATTGAAGCCACACCAGGTGGCACCCACTTAGACTTAGAGAAAGTGTCCCCCCTATGGGGGGGCGCAACACGCAGAAGGTTCTCTCTCCTGTTGCCAACATCTACACTCCAGAATAAGATGGAACTCAAAGGAGGGCCCCTGCAGATGATTTTAGGGCATGCCTAGTTGCATATATGAGAATTACCATTAGTGCAGGGCTTATAGGTTAGAATAAGTACTTTTTAATTTGAGCAAATTAAATTTGGGACGTGGGTGGCGCTGTGGGTAAAACCTCAGAGCCTAGGACTTGCCGATCGCATGGTCGGCGGTTCAAATCCCCGCAGCGGGATGAGCTCCCATCTTTCGGTCCCAGCTCCTGCCCACCTAGCAGTTCGAAAGCACCCCTAAGTGCAAGTAGATAAATAGGTACCGCTTTATAGCGGGAAGGTAAATGGCGTTTCTGTGTGCTGCGCTGGTGCCGGCTCGCCAGAGCAGCTTCGTCACGCTGGCCACATGATCCGGAAGTGTCTCCGGACAGCGCTGGCCCCCGGCCTCTAGAGTGAGATGGGCGCACAACCCTAGAGTCGGACACAACTGGCCCATACGGGCAGGGGTATCCTTACCTTTACCTAATTTGAGCAAAAGGCTCTTTGCCTTTTGACCAAATGCCTCAGACTCACAATATGATGCTTAAAAAACTAACTATTCTGGACAAAAATCTATAGGTCCAGTTCCTTATGCTTTACATACAGTACAAAACAATGAGTGAAGTACATGGTGCAAGTTATGGAAAGAAAGGCCAGAGCATTGAAACATACAGAGATGCAGCAAAAACTTCCTTTGTAGACGGGTGCCTTGGGTTTACAGTAGGCCTTTGTTACTGAATAATTTATTTTTTGCAGCACACAATTTGGAAACTATTTCCTTGTGGAAATTCAGTCCTCAATTTCCTCAGTCATGCATCAACTGGGGAGAAAAACCACAGCTAATTGCACAATTCTCTTTAATTTCATTGGCATCTGCACAGAAGAACCTCCAAGTGGACTGTGCCAAGAGTATTTTATTCCATGATTCTGTTTATATCACCAGACCTTTCAATTCTTAAAATGCAGCCTGGAGCAGCTGATACTGGGAGGATACTTTCGTACAGTAAATAAAATGCCTGCCTAGCTCCTTTGAAAACATATTATACTACAGCTTTTTCTTTTATAGATTTCGAAAGGCCAGTCTATATGTATCTACTCTGAGTCCAAAGAAATTCTGCCTTAGATTCCACATGGGTCTCACCTTTCCGTAAGCTTCTTTGCACCATGCCTACCAGTTTTACCGCTTGACAGAAGCTCAAATAGTCTTGCAGCATTTATCTTCTTTCGTATTCCCTTCAGAATCATGGGTACCACTGTAAGGTGACCTCTCTTGCTTCTTGCTTCCTAGATCTAGTTTCCATGTCATTGTTCTATAGGTTTGCACAGATCCTTGAACTTTCCGGTTGCCCTCTGCCATAACAGCTTTATGGGTTCCATAACAGAAATAGAAACTGAACCTGGTGTTTCATAACACTTTGCCAGCAGTTCCTCCAGACTATTGCACAATATATATTGAGTGCTACCTACATTTGTGAAGTTCTGCTCTAAAAGTTGTATTGATCTGCTAGCATATTCTTATCCTAGTCTGTTCCATCGTAACTGACATAATCTTTATCTCAGTAGCAGTTGCAGCTCACCAACTTCATTTCAAAGGCAAATCACATTAATCTTGTTAGGGGGTTTTTCAAGCTTTTTTGTTAGCTATTGCTAGTATTGTTATTATATGGTTCCCTTCCACCAAGACCATTGATATCTATGGAAACTGAGCTAATTTAAGGTTCCCTGGGTCTTTTCCCTATCCCAGGGGCTACATATGAGGGCTCAAGAAGTCATTAAGTTGTTGACACTCCTAATATGAGCTATAAACAGGGTCTCTTCCAATATTATATTCAACAGTATAGGAGCCATCTTGGGAGAAAAGCAATGACAAACCTAGACAGCATCTTAAAAAGCAGAGACATCACCTTGCTGACAAAGGTCCGTATAGTTAAAGCTATGGTTTTCCCAGTAGTGATGTATGGAAGTGAAAGCTGGACCATAAAGAAGGCTGATCGCCAAAGAATAGATGCTTTTGAATTATGGTGCTGGAGGAGACTCTTGAGAGTCCCATGGACTGCAAGAAGATCAAACCTCTCCATTCTGAAGGAAATCAGCCCTGAGTGCTCACTGGAAGGACAGATCCTGAAGCTGAGGCTCCAATACTTTGGCCACCTCATGAGAAGAGAAGACTCCCTGGAAAAGACCCCGATGTTGGGAAAGATGGAGGGCACAAGGAGAAGGGGACGACAGAGGACGAGATGGTTGGATAGTGTTCTCGAAGCTACCAGCATGAATTTGACTAAACTGCGGGAGGTAGTGGAAGACAGGAGTGCCTGCCATGCTCTGGTCCATGGGGTCACGAAGAGTCGGACACGACTAAACGACGAAACAAATAGGAGCCATGGCAGCACTTCCCTGCTTCACTTAACAACACTGTGCATCTGAGAACACAAGAGAGCCAACCACACTGACTATATATATATATATATATATATATATGCTGTGAAAATGCTTTTTGAAAAAAGGTTTAAAATATATATTGAATTTGCCATTAGCTCACTATCGCCATCTAGTATCCCATTTGTATAATGCACTTAAAACATTATATTTACAGCTGTATAGGAGAATCCATGCCATGAGCTCTTGCCCTGTCATTTGAGAATTCCAACATTACAAAATGGCACAGGAAGAAGCCACATGCAGGAGTGCCCGTACTACAGAAGATTACACTGGATGGGCCCCACTGACATTGCCATTTGCATCAAGTGGCCACCAACTTACGTCCAGGATAAAGAACAGCTGTAAGTAAGCAGTTACAGATCCAATATATGTTACTGTTAAATATGAATGTTCACATGGGCAAAAGAATACTTTTTTTTTTACTTGAGCTGGACTGAATCCATGCAGTTCTGCATTTCATCAGACCAAACCCCTGCATTTCAATGAATGACTTGAGGTATTTGTATATCTGCTGAATTATGAATGATTTTTACATTTGCAGCGGGGTAATTTTCTAACGAAAGGGATTTTTATCTTTGCTCAGTGAGCTGAGAATCTGCTAAATTATGCTTCACTTTCTGAACTCAGTCTTGGCATCATTGTCTTTCCAAAAACCGTTAGCGTGGATATTCTATGAAATTGCTTGTGCATTAAGCTTAAATTAGCTGTCGTTATTATTCGCAAAATAATGAGACTGAAAGCAGATCATGTCATTAGCAACAGCTTTTGCATCAGGATCATATTTTCTCCTCTGTTTACTGCTAAATGTGCATTTTACCTAAAAGAGGACAAAAGAAGAAAAAGAAGAGACAGAGTAACGATAAAAGGATTAGGAGTGATGTTACTTTGTCATATCTTAGAAAGGGAAACTGCTAGGCTAGGGCATGTAAGTAACACTCTCTGGAATGTAACCTCTTTTACTGTATGTAAAATTTAATCATGCACAGCTTGCAGACAGACCTGATTCTGCTGAGGGAACCACAGTTATTTGCTGTCTAGGTTTGAGGCAAAACTGCTTGATAACAAAACATAGCAGGTAGCATTGTCAGTTCTTATGTTTCCACAGTTTATACAGCCCTGATAAAAAAGAGTGTGCAGAGACTGGAAGCATCCAGCAAAAGAAGCTCCCACAGAGATCATTTTGGAGCCTATCTTCTCAGTGCAGGTGCCTGAGACTGAGACCAAGGGCTAATTCACATGTTACCCCATTAATGGGGATGTGTGTTGAATCAAAAAGATTGTAGATACAGTTTTATAGAAAGTGACTTTCGATTCTAGCACATGCCTTCCTCGGCAGGAAAGGTATCCGCTTCCCCTTTTATAATATTGTCATACACCACCCCAATCTCTGAACAGGGCCAGATTCCAGGGGTTTCAGATGTTTAGCCAGGGTTTGTGTTTCAAGTGGCAGGAGGCTGTTAGTGCAATTTGTGACCCAGTAAGTTGAACACTGCAAGGATATCATATATCATGAACTGCCAAGTACTTGAGAGTCACCATGTTTTTGCAGTCACATGTCAGCAGCAAAAATGGGAGATCACTGTATATGACCTGAGACCTACTTTCAGCTTGGTGCATCACAATTTGCATAGGCCTGCCTTAGGGCATCTACTGAACTTACCTGCCATAATGGCATGTCCGAGGAATGAAAATATGATTTAGAATTGATTATTGCCTCCCAGTGGTAATTCACCAGATCACAAATATTAATACTTTTTCTATGAATGCAATTCAGTTCAATGAAGTTGATGAAACAGCCACAGTATTTAGTGGAAAAACTACCCCCAGTCCTTTATTTCTTGAGAAGTCTTAAATTTATCTTACTCTAAATAGAAAATGTCAGGAGCTTCCAGCCGGCTTGCCCCAATTGAATAACCTTCACAAAGGAAACTTTGTTTGGCTGACTGGTACTTTCACAGACATTTACTTGTGAAGGAGGAGAGCGACAACAGATGAGCAACAGCCACTAAATAAATCACAGCCGTTTCTCATTCTTGGCTTTCAAAATGGGATACAAAGAAAGGGAAGAGAAATGACAGGAGAGATTCAGGGACTCTCTGCATACTGTTAATAACACTGAAAATGCTGACAGTCACTTTTCTGTAAGAAGATGAAAAGCAGCTGATCTGTTATCTGCCCTAGATGAATATATATATATATATATATATATATATATATATATATATATGAATTTCAAGTTGCTAAAATTAGGTGATGGTTGACACTGCTCTATGTATATGATCATTCCTTCTGATATCAAGTTTTTCTGCCTCCTGAAAAAGCATACCAACCCCCCCCCCTTGTTCAGTAAGCCACTGAAATAAAATATGAAATATTTGTCTATAAAATTTTCCATTACTCTTGGCACTGCAGCATGATTGAGAAACTTAACTACCATAAACACTTTGCAAGGTATAAAAATAATCTGGGGGAAAATCAGCTCCACAGGCAGCCACTTAACACCAAATGGATGAACCAACTTTCCCTGCACTCAGATTATTAGAGAACAATCCATATAGATAAAACCTGAAATTTCCTTTTATTCAAGATGGATATCTGCTGAATAATCTTAAGAAGAAGAAGGCAAATAGAAATGGAATCAAATGTATCTTAAGTTACATTTGTGGTTTGATAACTTATATTTTTAAAAAACAAAAAAACACCCCACAACCTTTGGTTGTGACTTTGAGTCAACATTCAGTGGACTGTTCTATAGTACATTGATAATGTTCTGATAAATATACAGCCAGCTGAAAACAGGGCCTGATCCAGGATTGTAGGAGCTGGGAAGTAAACAAAATGCTCTCAGGGGGGCTGTTTCTTTCTTTTCGGAGTTGATCAGCAAAATTCCTGATATGTACCTTGTGATGAGCTTTCCACCTCAAGAATGAGTTTCAGAACAGTTCTTAAGCTTACATACACGTTACAAGAACAAAATAACAAAGCAACTCATTTGCAAATAAGCAATGTGGTTCAGTCCTTTACGAAGTTCAGTTAACTTTCACCTCTGTGGTCCCATCGAGAGATCTTAAGCTTGTTCTTCATTGCAGAGCTTTTCTACAACTGCTACTGGCCATCTTTGACTTCCCAAGTTTCCTCTCCAGCTGTGAGATTTGCAGCTCAGGTTTCCGGTGATGAGTCTTCAGGTAGTTTAACTCACTGAAACAAAATAGCACCAGCCCTTTGCTGTCATCCAGAGTGGAAATTCCTGCTTAATGTAAAATTCTCTTTACAGCATTCAAAATACAATGCGTTCAAACACAGCATTTTATGTACATTAAACTTAGAACTTTAACATTCCTTGCCTCTGTTACCTACTGGCCCATTCATTTGATGTTGCCTCTTGGCTCAACGGGTACACCAAGTCCCAAAGAGAGAGGACAAGATGTGCGGCATTTACTCTTCTTTTCCCTCACTCCCCTTACTCAAAGAGAGGGACAAGAAGGATCAGAGATCGCCTCTGTGCTCATCACAAGGTTGGTCTTACCTTGCCAACCTGATGCCGAGTTGAAAGCACTGTTGGTTTAGAGCTATAGCCTGGTGGAGCTATAAGATCCGAGGAGGAATGAAAAGGACCATTAATATTATACATTTTCCTATTACTGGGAGGGTTATTACAACTCTGTGCCATGGCAGCACCAAGTTCCTAGGAAAGTGTCAGGAGCAGGTCAGAAATAAATCACACAGAGTAAGTGAACTCTTCATTAGAAGAAACAAAGCTGCTCAGTAGTGTCAGGCCTAATGAGCCCAGCAACTCTTGTCAATTGGTCTTGTGCCTATGAGGCAGTTGTGGGGACTGAAGGTCCCACAGCTGCCTAAGCCTCCTCCTCTCCCAAGTCCTTCCTAAGCAACCTGAGACTCCACCCGCATGCCTGTCTCTGCTCCTTCGTCTCCATACCTCTTCAGATTCTGTTATCTCTTCAGTTTATGACACCTCCTCTTCCCAATCTTCTCCCTGTTCTCCCTCTGACAACTCATCACTATCCCACTACCAATCCCCTGGCTCTGAGCCTTCGTCCCTCGGGGCTTCCCCAGCTGGTGCCTCCCACCATTCCATCCAGCCACTCCATGACAGAAACCAGAACCATTTAAGGGTACAGTGACATCATTTATGTATGTATTATTCGTTTAAGTGATTTATTAGCTGATGTTCAGTTTTACACCACAGCAGCTTAAGCACATTTGAAAAACCATATACTCTAAATGACAATATATGGTCAAGCGAGAAAACAATTCAGAAGCAGATAACATTTCCAGGGTGTGAATTCAATTAAAAGTTAATGGATCTTAACAGGCCAGGACAAATTAAAAGGGTTACACCTGGTGTTGAAGAGAAAACAGGACAGTGTCAGGCAAAACTTCCAGGTGAGGACACTAGACAGGTAGGAGGCATGGGAGTAGCCAAGATTTATGTTATGGGGCAGCTTCATGCTGGGGGTGGGGGCAGAACCTCAGTTAGTAAAGTCTCCACCACATCAGACAGACACACTGATCTAGAACAAACACTATAACTTTGCAACAGTTCCTTCAGAGAATTTAAATTAATTTTTAGGATTTCTTGGATGTGTGTCTGGGGGTCACTTCACAACACTTAAATACAGGTTTCATGGCCAATGAAGCCTTCACATTTTTGCGTTTTTTGTTCTGCTTAAAAAAATACTGTGCTGGCAACTTTGCCCTTATCAAGGAGACTAAGTTTGTCCAAGGCCATTGCTTATGCTGTTGCAGCAATAGCTGACCAAATTGGCTTGTTTCCCTGCTTCTCCTCTTCCAGATAAAGAGGATATCACCTCTGCAGGGTGCCTGCCCTTTTTTAATGGGCTGGCAGCAGGCACAAAAGCTAAATAACCAGTTAATAAAAGTAGAGTGGCAAAGAACAAATTTGCTAATCTGACAACAAAGGCAACCCATGATGCAGGGTTGCAACCTAACAGACTGAATGAACTCTGCAGCTTTCCTTTTGTGTATTGTCTTTCTCAGAGTTGAGATTCCAAGCTCAGTGCAAGAGGGGTGGATGTAGAGGGGAAGCAAAACTGAGAGGGGAAAGGAAAAGGTACTCTGATGGGATTTGAAAATTAATGAAGACAAAGAGTTGAGGAAACAGAGAGAACTGGCCTCTGTGTTGCTGGTGTCAGGCAACTCTGGATACACCGACACCCATGCCAATAAATAGTCAGGCTTCTCAAAAGAGCCTTGCTGTATAAGCAAAGAGATTTGGAGGGACTTCCTCAAAAGTCTAGTTGGATCATATACTATAATAGGGCCCCCCAAGTGTCCCTATTTTCGAGGGACAGTCCCGGTTTTACAGAAGCCACCCCGGTTTCTTTGATCCCAGAATGACCCACTTTTCCTTAGGACATCCCTATTTTCATTGGAGAAATGTTGAGGGGTGTGGAGTTATGTGACCAAGGAGATAAGTAACTACACATCCTTTAGAAGACTTCTGATGGCAGTTTTAAAATGTTTTATTGTGGGGGTTTTTATATATGTTGGGAGCTGCCCAGAGTGGCTTGGGCAACCCAGTCAGATGGGTGGGGTATGATTGGTTGGTTGGTTGGTTGGTTATTTATTTATTTATTTATTTATTACCACTAATACTACTACTATTACTATTGAATAGGATGACCCTATTTTCATCAGAGAAATGTTGGAGGGTATGCTATAAGTTGATAAATAGTTCTGTCAACTGGAAAAGGGCATATGATAGTATGATAGAGAGATATACTGTTGAAGTCCATGCTACCAAGGGCCATGGTGGGGAAAGGACCCTTAATAACGTTGAGCTGGTTTTCAAGGAATACAATTTTCAGAGAAAAGTTCTGTTCTCAATTCCCCTAAAAAAAAATAAGATCACTTTGTATAATTTCTCTGAATAATTAAAAAAAAAATATATCTCTGGTGGGGTATTGTCGTTACACACACACACACACACACACACACACACACATATCCCCGGCTTGTTTTCCTGCTAGGCCAGAGGCATTGTGGAAGATGCAAAATTGTGGTCAATTTACCAAGAATTTAGGGACACCTTGAGAAAATTTAAGGAGTGGTGCTACTGCCTCCAAGTCCCACCTCCAAGTAAAGGGTTGAGGAACTTAGTGTTGGAAAATTTCTCTTTCCCCTGGATAAACTTGATGACGCATTCCCCCATCCCAATTTCTCTTCACAAATTGGTTGGTGATTTTGAGATGTCGTTTGCAGGCAGCTCCTGTTTCTCTGTTTCTGACTTACATTGATTAACGTACTCACAGCTTAGATAGGACTAGAGCAGGTCAAAATGCCTAGGGATGGATGCGTGGAAGAAGGAGGGGCCTCGGAATGGCAAAGGCAGGGACTATGAAACGAGGGAAGAAGAGAAAAGGGGAGGAAAATAGGGGTGGGGGATAAGCAGACAGAGCTGTGCAAGGAAGGTTAGCATATTGATTTGAAACAACATTTGAAACCTATGGTATCAGGTCTCTAGTCAGTTCTGTAATGCAGGAAATAATGTGCTAGTCTGGTGGTAACATATAATGGTTGCTGTATAGGATGGGGAACTTGTGGGTCTCCAAAGGACGATGGACTAAAACTCCTATCATGCTTAACTATTGTTGCTCGTGTTCAACATCCAGATGGCCACAGATTGCTTGTCATGTAGTATGATAATCTGGCTTTGATTATATTTCTGTGTACCAGGTTAGTAGAATCTGTGGTGTGGTAGGTGGGCGCTCCTGATATGGAAAGAAAAGAGGATAGGCTGTTGAATAATCAATCACAGCATAGACTGGTGCATTTTGGGATCTGAATGAGAGGTGGGTATGGGAATGTATTCTCTCTAGCCCAGCTCATCCATGTTTTCTGAATCACAGACTAGTAGGTGAAAATGATGGCAATACATAGCTTGGTGGTAGAACACACATTTTCCATGTATTTCAGATTAAATTGCTGCTGTCTTGGGTTTAAAGGAACTTTGGTAGCAGTGTTAATGAGACTCGAGAGAGCTGCTTGCAATTGCATTAGACTGCACTGAGTTAGATGGACAATATCATAGTTTAGTACAGGGGTCTGCAACCTTTAAGACAAAAAGAGCCACTTGGACCCATTTCCGAAGGAAAAAAAACTTGGAGCCGCAAAACTATTGCGACATTTAAAACAAATATATCTCCGGAGCCGCGATCTGACAGTGGGCGGGAAGGTGACGTCGGGACGGTGTGTGACTAACGCACGCACCGCCCCCATGCGACATCACAGCCAGTACAGCGCCCGCCACAGTGGGGAGTGTCGGGGCGCACAATGCGTCTCCTCCCCTCGCTAGTATCCGCCCCGGAGCCGCGGCAAAGGTGTAAAAGAGCCACATGCGGCTTCGGAGCCGCGGGTTGCTGACCCCTGGTTTAGTATAAGGCATCAAAGAATATTAGGGTTCTTTCCATCCTTTCAACACATGCTTATAAGTGACACAAAGTTTCTTTTTTTTTTTTTAAAGAATATTTATTCCAATTTTAAGATTACATAGAAAGAAAAAAGCAAAAAAAGAAAAACAAAACACATACACCCTACAGAAAAAGAACAACACACGATACAGAAAAAATACAAAAAACAAAAAATCACAATACAAAAATAGCAAAAAATCAAATTTAAGTCATTAAGATCATCTTCCCATTTACTTATTTCCGAGACTTCCTCTCACTTCTCTGCTTTGTTTTCTTAATTTAAGTCGTATCTCCAGCAAACCCTTCTAACCTTCTTTTCATTTACTTAATTTAACATTCAAAAATATTTAATTCTCCTCTATTTTTTATTTTACACTACATATTTACTTATTCCATTATATTCTGTCTGCCAATACGGTCTAATATTCTTCTCCAACCTTTTCTAACATTCTTTTATGTTACAGTATTTCTGAAGATATGTTTTAAATTTTTTCCAATCTTCTTCCATCGACCCTTCTTCCAAGGTTTCTTGTTACTTTGGGGGTTGTGAATCCAGAATTGGTAGGTAATAATTTCCCATTGGTCTAATTAATGCTTGTGTGGTGGTGAAATTGAATTAGAAAGATGGCAAAAGTGTATCTCCTGGGGCTCTGGGCCAGCGGGGGGACGGACACACCCTGATCTTGCAAAACTCAGTTTGTTTTCCTTGAACCTCTTGCATGATTCTGTTCAAAATTTTGCTTTAGTCAGAACTTGGTGGGAGCTTAAAAATTTGCAAAGTGTCCTTGAAAATGTGGTAGTTTTCTTTTTGATGCCCTCAAAAGTTCTTCAGTGGGAGAATCTTCCAAATTCACTTCAAGTGCGGGGAAGCAAAATTCCAGCTAGTACTGCAGGTCAACCATATGTTTTATTCACTCCTAGCCAAATCATGTATGTACATCAATCCTAGAACATGAGTTATGCTTACCTTCTTGACAGATGTGTCCCTGGCAGCTGTCAAGCATCTGCTGTCTGTGCTTGTTCTGGTGCCTGTTAAGTTTCCTGCATTATCATCATCCCTTTTCCAGACCACCATCTGGTAGATGCTAAAATTACTTGTCCTTAAGATTACATTACCACTCCTAATGGAAAAGCAATGATGCTAACTGTACAGATAAAAGTGAAACCACAAATTAGTCATGACAAGGCAGCACAATATATAGTTGGGTATTTACTATGA